ACACATGCACATACACTAACACATGCACACCCACACATATGCATACACTCATCACACGCGCACACCCACCCTCACACATGCACACATACATGCACACCCACACTCACACATGCACACATACATGCACATCCACACACACACACACATACACTCACATATGCACACATACACTCACACCCACACTCACACATGCACACATACACTCACACATGTACACACACATACACACACTAACACACATGTGCATACACTCATGCACACACACTCACACATGTGCATACACTCATACACACACTCACACACGCACATACAGTCATACGCACACACACACACACACCCGGCAGCTGGACCTGTGGTGGGCTCAGACTCCCCTGACAACTGGCCTTCTCTGTGCTGTTGCTTCTCAGAGTCATTGGAGCCACATTGAATCGTGCAGCTCAGTCCTGCACATAGTAGGTGCGCAAAGAATGTGCCAGAAGCACGGTGGAGGGTGGACGTCTGTCTGGGGGTTGGGACAGAGGCTGGTGGAGCAGACACACCGCTCGATGGTAGCAGGGGCTTGTGGAAGATACTGGAACTCCCCGGGACAAGGCGTTGCGAGGCAGTGGGCACTCAAGGATTGACACCCACTCTGAGGGCTGGGGGGTCTAGAAAGTCCTGGGGGGTTGCGGGGCGTCAGGAGGGCGCGGTGAGGGGTGCGCTGGGGGCATTGCAGGCAGGATGCTGGCTTAGAGAAGTGACCGCCACAGCGAATACCGCGTCCGCATGTTCAGGAGACACCTTCGCAAGGAGGTTTGGGTTGGATGCTCCGCTTCCCCTTTTCACAGCCACAGCCTGTCCCGCAGGGCGGTGCTTCCTGTGTGAGCCACACGGACACACGCAGGTCTGGGGAGCGGGGTGGCTGTGCGAGCGACCACGCTTCCCGTTAGCTGGAGCTCCTCCTCCGTCAGTGTGCAGGGCAGCGCCTGCGCCCACACAGGAGGGAGCCGGGCAACGGCATCGCATCGAGAAGGCTCGGTGGCGGCGTGCACACTGCGCCACCCGCGGTGCCACTCCTGACCAGGACTTCGATAATGCTCTTGTCTTCCACAGACCCCAGAGCACGGGACGGCGGTGCTCACGGCCACGGAGAGGTAAGATACACGTCTCTCAACTCGCTTCGCGCTAAGCGGAACTGCTGGTCTTCTTTTTGTTCATGGCTGAGAATGTTTCTGAAATACAAAGGTTACTTTTGTTTTTTTTTTTTAGGAAAGGATGTAAAAACCTCATAATCCCCAAACTGAGAAAACTGTAGACAGTGCATGCAAATTGTGTATGTTTAGATATATGCTAATGTATATTTTCAGATTCATAGTAATACTAGAGGCCTGATGCACAAATTCGTGCACTGGTGGGGTCCAGCCGGCCCACCCCGATGGGGGCCATCAGGGGCGGGGCTGGCCAGGGCATGGGACCGTGGGCGGTTTGCCGGCCCGCCCTGCCCCTGATCAGGGTTGGGGTGCCCACTGGGGGGTGGGGTCGGGCAGGGCAAGGGGCCACAGGCGTTCTGCCGGTCAGTCTATTTACATATTACCCTTTTATTACTGTAGGATGGGCACATTGTAGAAATATGAAAAATGGTTACTGCAAAGAAGAAGGTTAGCATGCCTTAGGGTTTCCCCATCTGGGGGTGTGTGGTAACACGATCCCACTGCCTCATACGTGAGTGTCCCGTGTGCTGACCTCCAGGTGCATCGCATAGGCACACTGACAGTTTCACCTTCACCGAGCAGTGTGGCAGCCACCATCCATGTGTGGCTGCTTGACCTTAGTCACTAAAATTAAGCAAATAAAAAATTCAGTTTCTCTTGCATGTGCCCCCTCCGGGATCGAACCCAAAACCTAGGTATGTGCCCTGACTAGGAATTGAACCCAAAGCCTCGGGTGCGCAGGCCGACACTCTAACCACTGAGCACATCAGCCAGGGCAACACAGTTATTTTTAACATATAGATGCTGACAGCCTGTGCTGATTGCGCAAGCTGAGATTTAACGGGTATGTGTTTGTGTGCGCGAGAGAGAGGGAGGGAGGAAGAGAGAGGAACGTTATGACTGATTCTGATGTGCATCCTCCACTTGGTTGAGGACCTCTCATCTGGATGTGGCTCTAAGCACAGGCTGTGCAGCCTCATTTTACTCCGCACGCCCCTCGGCCGTCCTTACCCACGGGTGATCCCTCACAGCCTCCCTTCGTGGGCACGTGGACAGTCTTTCTCCTGCTTGTCCTCTCACGTGGCTTTCCTTCCCACTAGGTCGGCCCTGTGAGCCTCAACGGTGGGGACGTCCTGCAGGGCCTGGGGTCTCGACGCCCACCTGGAGCCCCACCTGGAGCCCCTCCTGCCACCGGGATCGAGCAGGCAGAGGGCCCGCGGCTGCCTTGTCTTCGGAGGAGGACACCGCGGGGGTGGAGAACGTGAGGAGCCGGACCTACTCCACAGAGCTGCTTGCGAGGCCGCGCTCGGAAGCCCAGGGCCCACGGGCTCGGGGAGTTCCCGCGCTGG